CTTTCGCCGCTGGGAGAGGCCGTCAATCGATAAAATTGCATTGTACGGCCCGGCAGATAGGGTGAAAGTTTCGCCTTTATGAGAATTCGTTGGCTCGATCATGCGTGTTACAGTTGGAGAGAACCGTGCTCGAAGAACAACGGGTGATGGAAAAATATTTGAAAATCTCTGTGCGCCAGAGAAACATTTTGATAGAAATATTTCTTATGCAATTTACGTGAATATACTGAATAGTAGAATAAGTTTTTACATTTTTTTAAAATAATTGCATTGATTACGGCAAAGAAGTACACGTCTGTTGTATCGGAGACGCGTGGACAATTTGTCAGAAGGTCACGGAACGATCCGAGAAATTCGGTCACGTAGATTGCAACAAATTGCTTCACACACAGAGAGGTAATCGAGTTAAGTTGACTATTATCGGCAAGTAGTCTGGCCACGTTGTTAACCGTAGAACGAGTAACGCTCGAAATCGTGGTCGATCGGAGAAAACGCTGCCGACGCGACGCGATGCGCCACGACTCGATCTCTTTCGACGCAGAGCACGTGAGCCAAGCGACCGGAAAATCTCGCAATCGCTTTCGGAATTCGAGTGTAATTACGTTTGTTCTGCGCTGTTGATGTTCGATTTTTATCGGTAGCACTATCGACCGCCCGCGGAAAACGTGAAATCGATTTTTTTTTATTGATGACGTTGAACAGTAGAGATGACTTAGTAAAATATATTCTATAAAAGAGAATAGAGCGTAACTAACACATCTGTTTACGCATTCATATAATTCTCAATTCTGCATTTATCATCAATATTTTAACGTATCGATGAACTTTTGATAAATCATTATACGAAGTAACTAGTAATCGACTGAGACGATTGTGCTGCAGCACGCTAGAAAATAATTAACGTAAATCGTGCTGGCAGCCTTGCTTCTCGCAGGGCCAGCCAGCGATCGTCGAGAACGTTAAAACGATCGTCGTTGCATAAATTGCGTTATCAATAATCTCGCGCATAAAACACGTGGTCGGAACACATGGCCAGAGTCCCATGGAATTCTAGGAACGCGCGTCTGGACGTAAGTCCTTGCTCCTCATATCTTCGGCTTATCATTCGCCTGCAGTGACGGGAGATCAGACAAAAGGCAATAAGGGTAATAATACGTCCGCGGACAAAATGGCCAGCGAGAATGTGTCGCCCCGTTCGCGCTTGAGTATTTATTTAACAGCGAACCGGAATGGGCGAGAGAGGCGGAACGACGCGAGAAATACGGGGTTAGAGGCAACGCACGAAAGTTCTTCCGGTCGAGACGATGTAGGGGTACGAAAGTGCCCCCAGGGGCGTACTGCGGACTTTTGCCGGACACAGAAGTGCCATACTGGGGGCCGGCTAACGGACACGTACACAACCGAGTTCGACCGGTCGCAATGTGCTCGCGCCTTGCTTTCTTCTTCTACCTTCTCTTCGGACTTTTCCTCTTCTGCTTTCGTCTTCCCTTTCTACGTGCAGATCTATACGTAGTCCCCGCACGTACGGAGCGGCTCGCGTAATGGAAGCACATTCTTAAGCTGCAAACCTTGACAGAAAATACTGTTACGATGTACAAAACGCGGCGAGCAAAAATTCGCGGGGATAAGATTACGCAATTATGTCCATTAGAGATTGTTGTTGTGCAAATTGAAATGATCTGACAGAGAAACGAGATTCTGATAGGGAACCCGATTTCACTGGTTTTTACGAAAGGCGTTCGAAGGAGGTAAATATGTGGAGTAGCTCGTTTTCGTCGGGTTACATTTCCTTAAAAAGAAGCTACCTTTTCCTGGTTTATTCCTGTAGGTCAATTATGACGGTCGACTTATATTCTGCAAAATGGTACATTGAACGTGCATACGTATGTGTGTATCCAGTAAAGTAATGCATCTACGTAAAACATTTTTTTTACTCTCTCACATAATGTATTACATATCTACAAATAGCTTGACATTTTGCATATGTTGAATTTTGTTATTCCACAAATAGCTTGAAATTTTGGACATGTTGAATTTTAAGTTGTATATATGCTGCTATGTTTATCGTTCAAGTTCCGATAACGCAATTTAGTATCAGTATTATTATAGGAACGGTACCTTAGCGCAGCTGTACTCTCGTTTATGCGCCTGAAACTGAAACTTTGGATCAGTCCTCTTGCTCCTCCGACGCCCTCTCCTGTCCAATACTCGTAATCCTAACGTTTGATTGCACCTATTACGGTTAAAGCACCTAATACGTAACTTTCGAGACTCGTGCGATGGGTCGACACACACCAGCCGCCCAAAATCGATTTCACCTGCGCTTCACCTTCCCCTGTGTTTGTTTCCCTGCATCCCGTATCTTCTTGAATTCACCTGTTCCTACATGTTCACTGTCTCAATTACAACCAGAGATCCAATGGGGCTGCACCCTTGTCCCTTTTTTCCCTCGGTTTTCACAACGGTTCGTGTTATTTAATCATCTTTCTCGTAAGGCCTTCACGTATTCCGTCGTGCTTCTCACTTTTACATTTCGATACATTTTTATTTCATTGGAATGTAAAAATAAATATCAGGTATGATATTTATCGATTGACAAGAAGTAATAGGACGTCTAACATTTATATTTCTCTTTGCATGATTAAAGTATCTGGTAGATCAAAATCGTTTTCTAAACAAATTAAGTGAACAACAAATTCTTTTCATTTCTGATGCATCCGTACGATCTTCTATTTGACTCGACACGATCAAATGTAATATTATCGATATCCTTTATGTTTTCAATGTTGCAACGGGACGTGGTGTCCATCAATTTCGTGGAACGTCAGCCGATTTCGATTAACTTTTGCAGTACTCGGGTGCACGACCGTCCGCATTGATCAGCCCCAACCACGTTTAATCGTTGTCCCGTTCATCAGATTAATTACGCGTTATACAAGCGTCCGTCTGGGGGGATAGACGTTTCATAAACGTTCGCGTTTCAACGCATGGACAATGGCGAATAAAGAGATATCGTTCGCGATCGACGCATCGTCGATAACCTAGTAGGCTCGATAATAAAGCGTATTCTTCTTGAGCCGATTATCATTGATTATTATGAAAACCATTAATCTTGACTCAGTGTTGATTAACCAATTACTCTCATAAGGACATGTCGATTGTCAACGATATTATCTCGTTCTATTATTATATTTCGTTCGAATTGAATCTTTTACATATTTTAAGAACTATTGGTAATTCTAAGATTGTATATTTTAATGAAATTTCTTTTAAAGAATGCGTAATTCAATTGTACTTTATTGTGTGAAACGCTCTTAAACAGACCTAGATTTGTGTGATTTCATATTAAATCATTTGGTTTTAATCAGGTTTATGAAAAACGTCTGCTCTTCTCTGACGAATATTCTGATGATGTTTCATTAGCGTTACAGCTTCATGGACTTTGTGACGACAAGGTCGATGCATTAATATCGGTATCAGTACTATGGTATCGATGTGTCATTAGGGCCTTTATGAGCTTTCATGGCTGTGACGTTAGTAATACGTTAGAACGCTCTTTGATATAAAAGGATGCGCGTGGCTCGCATACGCTGATAACATCGTTTGAATATTAGCCATCGCATTTACATTTGCCGCTTAATTGAACGCAGAATTATTAATTATTAGCATCTCTAAAGTATTAACATTTTCAGTTCGTCATTAATTATTAATTATCGGAATTTTCAATCAACAGTCATGAATTATCAAAATTCCTCATCACCGAATTATGAATTACTGACGTATCAATTTATACATTAATAGTGTCCTAAGTGCTGAGTTGACGGGATTAAATGTTTAATAACTTATTTCAAAATTACCTTTTGATCACCGCATGAAGGTCCGTTAAATGCACAACGGAAACGGTCGCGAGATCGGTACCTTAAGGATGTATGGACTATACAGTCAATCCCAAAAGTTTATGTANCGAAAATTTTTTTTTTGCGGAATTTCGACAAATGCTTCGAATAAAAGTTGTAGGTGATACTATTACCTATGAAAAATTTGAAATCACTATAATTTTAGATTTTTAATAGTAATAGGAATCTATAGTAACAAATTCAACATGCTAGCATTGTTTAAGTATATACCCTATACATCCTTAAGCACTCATAGGATCGACTAGAAGGAAGATGTATTTGCACCCTGCGATCCAACCGCCGGTTCTTGGAAAAAACATAAATAATTCAAGGATTTTTGCAGGAACTCTGCGACGGGTTTCTGCGGGTGTTTGGCTGGCCCGGTGGTCGACTCGCTCGGAGCATCGGTTGCCAAATTGTCAAATAAATGCTTGAAAAATGCCCGCGCGAACTACGGCGAGCATCGGAAAGGAACGCCGTGTTCAAACCGGAAGCACCGCCGCGCCGGGTTGGCTATGAAATTTCCATCGAAAATGACGCTCTTCGGCTCGACTGTCTGAAATTATTGAAGTCGCCCCTACCGCGCGCCGTTCACCGTCGAACGAACGACCGGGCACGTCCGAAATTGAAAGCCAGCCGATGCGCGCGCGGTTAACGTTAGCGAACAAACTACGGATCATAGGGCGGATGAGATATATGCATTCGGTTATGGGAAAAATGTTAATGCGGAAATGATATAGTGTGGGTGGGTGTTTTGTATGCAAATTTCCTGGTGTAATAATTTTAGGGAAAATGGGGAAATTGTGCGGAATAGTTTTATGAAATATCTTGCGAGCATCGATAGGAGAATTTTATCTGTTCAAAATCTATTGACACAGATTTATAATAGAAATTAGAACAGATAATTGATATTCGCCAAGCAAATTCGCAAACGTTGTCCAAATATTGATATAAACTGATGGAATTGATTACAGAGTATATATAGTCAGTGCTGTCCATGTTACGTTTCATAGCTCAGGGAGCTTCCTCTACTTTCTCTATTTCTAACAAACACGCATTAGTCAATGAAACTTCTGAAAATGCGTTGTGTTTGTTTGCTTCTAGCTGCGGCTCGTAGGAGAGGACAAAACCGCGTAAGAAGCTCTGCCCATGGACAGCTCTGGCGTAAGTGATATACCAGTAGCTTCCCTCTCGATTTAATCAGGCATTATTCAAACAATTAAAATGTAAAATACGCGTTACAAGAATTGACAGCGTTCTTTATGCATTTGTATATGGCTGCCAAGCAAGCAGTTGAAAAATGATAATACTGTTTTCTTCATCGCTTATTGTCATAATAAGGTATCTTGTAATCACAAGACTCTCTTTTTGCGGACATCTTCAATTACGCGAGAAGAGTGGTGATATCACTGCAGCGGACATGGATGGAACATTTAACGACTGGCAATCAGAATCCAGGAAACACTACCTTTCATTCAGCTCGCGTGTACGCAATACCATTTTTCCTCGGTATGCTGCTAAGCTGCCGGGGCTACCTTTTTATAATTCCTGGCGAAACATTTTTTTTCTCGCCGTTTCCATTCTAAGAGGCATCCATTCCTTCCTTCCTCCGCCCTTGCCATTCTCGGCCCGGTACCTGTATCCCCCTCGCCACGCCCACCCTGTCATCGTTTGCATAAAGTGAGCTATCTGCCCTTTTAATATACGCAAATGAAGTTACGTTCCGGAACTAATCATATTTGCATGCGGAACGACGATCTCCTTTGAGCCCTTGTCGCACTTATTACTACAGTTTACTCGACGAAGAACGGTTTACGGTTAGACACGGAAAAGCGACCGGCACGATAACGTCGATCGATTGGTTTTGTTTGGATAGAGTTGAAAATAATTGCCACGTTCTCGGCACGGATGCAGTCGCACCGTCGTCTGACTACGCGTAGACTGTTTCTACTTAGAGCTAGTATCAAATATATTATATACTCTGCCGCAGTATAATTTATTTGTCTCGTTGAGAATCAGTTCTCGTTATAATTCTTAATACACGTTTTTATCAACTTCAGTTTTTAGATTTATTACACAAAGGAAATCAAGGTAATCGTAAATTGAAATTCTTCATTACATGAAGGTTGAGTCTTCTCATCACAACTTCAATTTTCATTTCAATCATTTTCCTGCAAAGCGATGAACTAGTCAAACTTGAAATTCGCGGATCATGATTCATCAAAGGGCTTAAATTACACAAACTTTCTGTTTTATCGATGGTCTGCGAGTGGCATCCCACCTAACGGTCGAGATTACGCTATTACGTATTAATGAAAGTTCGGCTTTCGCGTAAGATACGTACGAATGAAAGATAAACGCCGGCCTCACTGGGATGGGATACTGTTTGCGGAGCGCCTATTGTACGCCACTTGAGAAGTTTCCGCCGAAACGATATTCTTGACGGCGTAGCTGCCGCTGAAACTTCCGGTGAAACGTGACATTTTCCCTCTTCTCTGCAATCATGCTTAATTAATTATCGATCGGTCCTCAGCTCCAGTTTCCCCTTCCAATCCGCAGAGTTGATAATCGCTTCCTCTTCTCTCGATTTCGATTAGCGGACAGTGTATTTAATTTAGAAGTTGCTACGCAAAATGTTTTTCTCGATTTGATTGCGTGCAAGAGATTCATTGCTCCTCTACAATTGTTCCCGACCGTCTGTTTTCTTCTTCCCCTCTCGAATCAAGAGATTCGGAAGACCTGGTGGTACAGTTATTAGACCGATATCAGACGCATCATTCGGGTATATTAAATTTGCGTTATGTATTCAAGGATAAACAGTTGCGGCGGACGAATTAATTCGATTTGACGCGTAGAGCCAGAATTTCCTCGAAATTTAGCCGTTGCACGTGAACACCGGTACGGCATTATCGTCTGCCGCAACGAACGTTGCATTTCGGTCACGCACGATCGAGTATTATCGTCGTCATTGTTATATCGACCATTCGTGAGGTAGGGAGCATACGGCTGTAATCGTTGTCTGGAGAAGTGCTTACAGAATATTGCAACCCCGAACACGCTACATATCGCACTGTATTGAGATATACATACGTATCGATAACGGTCTACGTCTATAGATAAGCGCGCTCTAAGAGCTTGGCGAACCGCTGGACGCCCTTCCTTCGCGTATCCGAAACGAGTAGACGCAATTACCAACGCTTTTTCAATAAACATTAATAAACCCGACCTGATTCATATCACTAATAGATGTGAAATATTTAATATCAATCCTGTTAACTCAATAACTAACTAACTCTTTCCTCTTCTTTTCTTTTTTCAGACTTTAAGTAACGTCCCCAACTAACAACTAACCACGCTTCGCCCATCGAAAGGCCTGCCCATTAATCGAACTTGAAATGACTTCCCGTTGATCTAAAAGAACAGAAAATAAATCGCGACCGGCCGTAATTTTTAAACCGAGAACCGTCGCGCGAATCGTCGTCGATTGAGTGGCACGAGCGGTCGTCGCGGTCGTGCGCCACTCGAGGATCACCGATCATGCGAATTCCTGAAAATGCGCAGGACGAGCAGCAACGGTTTGAAGCTCGACCTGACGGAGAACACGCCAGGTAGCTCGTTGTCACGGCTACCGAACTTGGTCGAGCATGCGGAGACCTGTCAAGCTCTCGCCAGCGGAACCGGTGAGAATTTAAGTAGCAAACTGCCGAACGTGGTCGAAGGCTCGATGGACTATGGTAGCGAGCGCAGATCCTCCCGGTACCTCGAGTACCAAGACGCGAAGTCGTATCAGGACGGCCCGTCGGCCTCCGGCCTGCCGCCGTACGAGCAGACTTTCCACGATCAATCGACGCGGGGCTATAAGAGTTACGATCGGAAACCGTACGACAGGGACGATATCGACCGGTACGATAACAGAATTTATCCGGAGGACAACTTGAGGTACGAACGTCGGGGGGATCAGAGAACGTATCAGGAGTCAGACTTAGACGCTCCGTACGAGAGGAACGATGCCCAGAAGCTCAGCAGGAATTATCCCGGCGAGCTTCAAGAGCCGGGCGGCAGGCGGTACTCGAGAGATCTGACCGATTACGAGTACGCGTCCAGATACGCGGAGGAGACGTTGAAGCTCGAACCGAAGAAAGATCACCATCATCATCATCATTCGGGTAAGGTGTACGAGCCGACACCGTCAAAGGGTTACGAATCCGGGGTGAAGACCCACGACTCCGCTTATGAATTGTCCTGCGCCGCGCAGCAGGATCTCTCCAGTAGAAAGTATGAGAGCAAGTATCACTCCGTCAGTAAGATGTACGGGACCCTGCCCAGGTACGAGAGCGGCAAGTCCTACGATCCTAGATCGTACGACTATGAGGATCAGGCTTACGAGACCAGTGGCAAGGGATACGACTCCAAATACGAGTTGACCAGTTCTAAAAGCTATGAGAGGGCTAAATGCGAGGGTTCCTCGTCCTCGAGGTATCAAGATAAGTCGTACGATCAGACGCTGAAGATTGGCGAGTTGGGCTCCTCTTCGTCTGCCGCTTATACCAGAAAGACTCAGGATCAGGAGGAAACTAACGCGGAGAAAATGAACGGATACAGGAAGAACAATTTCGAGGCGTACGGTGTTTACTCGGATCCCGAGGACGATCACGGATTTCTTGCTGAGAAAAAGACGCCGCAGTATCCGTACAAGGGTGTAGTGGTAAACGCGAGCGGGGAGTCAAGCGTCATTGACCAGAAACGGGCGAAGGATAGTAGACAAACGGAAGTCGTAGGAAACCCGTGGTGCAGGCCTACAATACTCTTGCTGCTGTTGGTTCTCCTTGTCGTTATCTTCGTGTTCGTCGCTGGAATCCTTCTGTACTTAAACTGTAAGTCTTCCTATTTATCTATTTCATTACGGTTCATTTTACTTCCGTCTACTCAAACTTGCTAGTATGTTTCTACAGTCAAGAGACATTTAAGAGAAAACTTAGAAACATCATAGTCTGAATAAGTCGGGATTTATTTCTACTCATTTATTGTCTATTTAAGCCAGACGCTTGTTTCGTAAACGTACATTTGTACGAGCACCGATGAAACCCATTTAAGATTATAAGTCACGTGCCGCGGAAAACGAATGTCCGTAGTTAACAGGAGAGCTTTGTTAAAGGAGGATTCGAAATTAGCGAAGTTTTCACAGCGGGGCTACAAAGACTCGTCTTGTTCCTCGAACGCGTGCTAATAGTAGATCCGGCTCGTTTGGCCGCGTTTCGTTTTTCTTTCGTTTTCCGACATTTCGTTTCTTCGTTTCGTGTTCAAACGATTCCGGAGAGCTATTTAGTTAATGAGCATCCGATTCCAATTATTTACGGTCGTCCGTGTGACCGCCATAATAATGGGCCGCAGGCGACGTCGCAGACCACGACGTCGCGCGGAGCGGCTCGGCGCCGGCGACCGTCCTGAACACGTGCTGACGATACGTTAAGCCGGAATGGTTACTGTCTGGCCGGGCAGTTTTATGTGTCGAATTTGACATACCCCGCACGTACGGACTTGCCACTAGCGAAACTGTTCGGTCGGAATTACAATGACACCAGTAAATGGTAGAAGAGGGTTTAAAGAATAGAGCTGGACAAGAGTGACGTACATCTTGCGAATCCATTTTGCCTCCGTATCGAACAGAAGAGCTCACAGAAATCTGAGTAGAACGTATTAAATTTCTCTCTGCACGTCTAGTATTGAACATTTTATCCTCGAATCCTTTATGATCGGTTTGTTAAATTTTATTGCAATTCTATATTTAATAATATTAAAATTTTGCATAAAAAAGAGATTCGATATGCGCGACGCTTTTAACTAGCGCCATTATTTAAAACCCTTTCTCCGCTGGTTTCGAACGGGTCGGTTCGGCGAACGTCAACAAAGAAAGTGAGAGGAAAGAGGAAAAGCAAACGAAGGACCGAGGTTGAAAAGTGTCTGGCTCGCTGAGAGAGTTTCGCGTAACGACGATGGCGCATGTTCGTTTCCCCTGCGATTTCCTGTCGGCGCCGCGCCACCAGTACTTTGGTACGATCGTACAATGAACAGAGAGGACCAACCCTGAAAAATAGCAAGTTCGAGGCAGAGGGAAGGTTCGGTACCGGGTCATCCTGCTCGGAACTATTCCGAGTGGCTGCATTTGGCAGCGGTCGACGGCTCCGTTTGACCGATTCGGTTTATTTTCGGGTCAAGTTTTCGCCCGACCGCTTCGCAATCAGCCACTGCATTGTCCTAGAGACAATACATTTACTGCGAGCAGCGGCGCGGCGTAGGAATTCGTCGAACGCCGAGCCATACCAGCCCTGGTTCACCTTCGCCCTCGACGAAATGTTCCAGCGGCGAACGTCGCATTTTCGGCACGAGCTTTTTGGAAATTCGATTTAAACCGACGATGTCGCGGCTTGCGTCGTTTCACGATTGCCAACTATTCCGACGTTTAGTCGATTTTCATAGAATTCCGCGATAATTGGCGAGTCGACAGTGAACGTGTCAGTTGTCTTCTCTGTTGACACGTTTCTGCTTTACTACCCGGTTATTGGAAATTGGATTCCTTAATACGAGTACTATTGTTTGGCCATCTCATGTCAGAATTTCAGACATCGATAAGGTAAATATATTTGACCAACTGTGACGGAGGATTTTCCATTTGTTCATGGAGGATGTGTCGTAATAAATTACAAGATACTGATGAATCGCGAAATGTATCATATATCGGTGAATACAGGGAGATTTGTGTTACGTGGTTGATACGCGGAACAGATAGGCGATACTGTTATACGACAACACATAAATTTTATCTCGCCACTTCGCGACGCATTTTCGAGCTCAAAAGTTGAAGTTGACAAAGTGTTTGTAGTTCTGACAGATACATACGTACAGAGATAGTCTTTCACAATTTATCAGACCGAACAACAATATAAAAGCTTATCGACCTCGTAATAGTTCGTTACATAAATTCCTAATTCATCTGACTCAGCATGTAAGACGTGGAACTAAATTTAGTGAACTTTGAACGCAGCATTTTGCAAGCGCAGTTCCGAAAAATAACGTGCCAGCCCTTTGGAATCCTCTCACCGTTATATCCGCTGTAAGTTCCGCTAAAGTCGCGTACGACGAAGGAAGTTCAATCTCGACCGAGTCAATCTCTTTAGTGGAGGATAGAGCGTCGGTCGCGATGAAATTAGAGACACCCAGTATGTATGCGGCGGCACGGCTCGCGGCGTGGCATGGTACGGCGCGTCGTGGAGCATGCAGCGCGTCGGGGCTTTGGCGTAAGATGAGGATTTAGTATGTAAGGCACGTGTTCGCATCTGCCTTTATGAGCGTTTCCCGCGATTCCGGCGCTTCGTCCTCATTCTCAGGCAAGCATTGCCAGCATTGCCGTTCCGAGACGTCGTAGGTGGGCTCAGGGTTTCGGGATTAAGGGCGTCGCTGATCATATTATGGCCGGAGATATCTCATTCGCTCCTTATCCGGTGTTGGTACGGCGCTAGCTCGCCGGTAAACTCAGCTGCGTTTATTCGACATAAATTATAAGGACTTTACCCAGGCACGCGTTGTCAGCCTCGGTGTGTACGCGGCTTTAACGTGCCGAGCCGCCCGCGCCCGGGCCGCCGGCAGGGTCGTCAAACTTCCCTATATCGCGTTGCGTCGGGACGGACGGTTTACGAGATGCCCGGGTAAACGGATTTTAACGTTGGTCCCGGGATCAGGCTTGTACGACGATGTTGTAATTGCTTTTCGGATTAGCACCAGCGAGTTCAAGCTTTGACTCGTTTTTTCGATTAGTCGCACACGCCTTCGATGAGTTCGCGTCGTCATGTTAGCAACAATAAGAGCAAGGCTTTCCTGAATAATTTTACGGAAAGTGAAATGAACTTCGGGCCGCACATTCTTGTATAAAAAGAATATGTCAATGGGATCTTCGTTTAATGATACATATTAGCTAATTGGTGATCAGAGGAAAATGTAATGCGTGTATCATGTTCAGGGAGACGAACGTAGGATGTAATAGGAGCTCTGAAACAGGAACTTAGCTACGTAAAAAAATTGAGTAGGTACGCTTTGTTAGGAAAGAGCAACATGGTTCGTTACAGTCTGCTAAGCTCAGTCTGCCACAGTCACTTGCAGAGCGTCTTAAACTCTGTTAAGAATGAAGCTACAATAAACTTAACTAAACTTACGGGCATCGCTTGTTTCCTAACAACTTCGCATAACGCTTGTTAAACAGTCGAACAAACTTCATCTCCCATCTGCTTTCGCCAATTCTTGACGTTGCGTAAGTTAATTTCGAATTTTTTTTCCTCGTATTTCACGAGCAGAAAATGTTGAACAACGAAAATTTGTCAAACGCGATATTTCAACTAAGAAGGACAGAGCTGTCGCGATGCGTACCAGAAACTGACCGAAAACTGACTTTTGGGAATTCCTGAAAAAATCCACGTTGGGATAGGATGGTCATTAATCACAAGGAGTGACGCGCGTTACCGAAAATTCGCGGAAAACTGGTCCACCGGCTAAAGTTTTCCGCTCTTGGCGGCCGTCAATCCTTCTGCTTGGATGTCATCCGGCGAGGAAACTATATCCAGCCACTGATGCTGTCGCTAACGCACGCGTCCCGCCCTGGAGGCCGCCAGAAATCGGGTAACGTAAAGCAGTCTTCGGTGACATGTTCCCGGGAACAAGACGGGAATGTCGGGCGGGAAAACAGGCGACGGACGAAATTGGATCCTTGATCGTCGGGTAAATTGCGAGCGGGCCGTTGTCGCGCTATGCCGAGTCGCGTTTTATGGAACGACCATCGTACGAATGATTCGGTACGCGTACTTCTGTCCACTTTTTTATTCTCGCTTCCTTATTTTAGCGCGATATGCGTTTCGTGATCATTAAGTGTTTCTTCCCAAAGAATCAAAATTGAAAGTGTTTAACATCGAGATAGGATTTACTAATTTTGGAAAAAAATATCTGTTTTTGTATTTTAAGATTTAATAAATTGCCAGTAATTTTTATAGGAGGTTTCCCTGCTTATTAACAGCAGTAAAAATGGTACTGTTAATTCCCGACGTAGTAAAAATGATACTACACAGAGATGAAACGTGACGTTGACGCGACGTAAACGAAGTTTCCTAATTCCGTGTACTTGATTTAAACCGCAACAATAAACTCCTTTAATTTACTCAACTTCGGGGAAACGTAACGGTACACGTATGTACGACTATTCTACGAGGAAATATACGCGATTTTCCAGCTCCACGGGAATCGTACATCCGTCCTGGTACACGACTATCGTGAAGTTAAATGTTTTCCGGAACGATAGCGATACGGTTTCTCGTGAGCAGTTGCGCGCTTCTTCGATAATACGAGCTCTATCGTTGTTCTTTCGTTTTTCCAGAAGAGAACGGAAGACCCGAGTAGCGTAAGAGAAAGTTTCTTATTGCTATACAAAGTTCTCGCCGTGAACGATGTTGAAGTGGCAAACGATTCGGCAACTCGCTGTCGATGTATAATATTCACGGTTCATGCCGGATTAAATCCATAGATGTATTTTACGAATAGAAGAATTACTGCCCGATTCGTCTGCTCGACGCAAGGACTATAAAAAATATAAACTTTCTCCGCAAGCTATGAATTATAATTTTTTGTACATTTGAGCTTTTTATGCAAGCGGTATTTTAATAAGATTTCAGAATACGTATTCTGTATAATTCAATAAGTTAACATGAATTGAAATTAATTCAGTTTACTCAATATCTTCCGTTCCATATATTTTCTTAATTTTTAACATTATGCTTAGTCAGATTTGTGAAATAATTGTATAAAGGAAACAAATATTCAAAAAACAATATATTGC